GAAGCCACCATTCTTGTGGTGGACTTCCTTCCTGAAAACGTCGCAAATGAGGATTTCTTGGACTTACGTGGGGGTTGGTGGGGGTTAGGGAAAGGAACTGCAAGTCCTCTCACTTTCCAAATTGTAGCCATTTATCGGGTTTGAAGAAGATCAAACACTTTTTTATTGAAGGCTTATCCAGTTTGGAAGCGAAAACAATATTATCACCAATATAAAAGGCTCTACCATCAGCGATAGATCTCATTTCTCGCCACTGCTGAATGGGTGTTGAACTCAGTATAAAACCACCGAACTGCGATATCTCCGTTGCTGGTGGTACGAAGAGGTACACACTGGTAAACCATTGCGCTCTTGTTCTGGCCTACAGGGTGAGTTCCAAGTGGGTTTGAGTCGTTGTATTATGGCTGTTTGGGAGCAAGACTTGTTGTTCCAGATTATTATAAACCCTGGTTCTAACTATTCTGTGCCAGAAAACCAGTTGTATGGCCTAATTAAAGTCGGATACACAGCTGAAATGGAAATAACGAGAAAGGTAAGGGCCTCCCGGAACTTCATTATTGGTAAAGACATCGACCAAAAGGGGATTTTGACTTGGTGCTTCTTTGGTGAAAATTCATTTCAAAGTTCCAGCACAAGGGTGGTTAGATGGCTGAGGTTGGAAATTAAAGAAAGCTACTTCTTGAAGAAATGCTTGGAATTTTTCAGAAAGCGCCACCCAAAGCGGACAAATTGATGGTCCAGTATGCATCTGTGAAAGCGGACGAGACTGACCCAAAGAAGGCTTTCGCCAGTGGAAAGCCAGTAGGAGAACTTACCGGAGAGACAATGATGAAGCTGATTGCGTCGGAATGAATATGGCTGGTGACATTATAAGAGAGTCATTAGGCAAACAAACAATACTTATCGATCCGTCGCCATTTGCTGTACAATAAAGGGTTTTGATAAATTCGCTCACCATAACGACTCAGCTGTTCAGTAGTTTAGCTTGGTTTTTTCATTTAAGCAAAATTGCTTATTTGTTTATAGGAAACGGAAGATAGTAAAGCTAAAAGGACGCTCATTTGTCATCTATGCTACGCTTCAATGAAACCCTCTCGTTGTTGAAATATGGAGCTTATACAGGGGTCTGGACACAGTTGGGACTGGGCTTGAGTAAACTTCCGTGATACATGCGGTTGCGAAAACCCCCTAGATAAGACGTGATAGTCGCTCAGGGACTGCATCCGTGATAAACCACGCCCAGAATAGTACGACTTTCCCCTGCATTGAAGACATTGCACCATTCCCAGTGATATCCATGTTCGAACTTAAAACAACACGTTCTAATCCATGGTGAGAGTGGAAAGCATCTCGGCAATTCAACCCCCTTCCCTCTCAGCCCCCCTCTTCCTGCACTAGGCCTTTAATGTGGTTATAAGCCAATTAGCCTGTGACACACACTATCATACGCATGCTTCAGAAAACTGGTACAGAATATGGTACCAGCCAACCACGATCCCTTGTGGACCTGGACCTCGTTATCTTTAGCTGAGCACTAGCCGAAAACTTTATATCTTCTTCAGATATGCCAATCCAATTATGTTTGGCTGCATCATTTCACCTCAAGAGACCTCTGAGAGGAACACCATACCCACTCAAGAAGGAGGGCTTGTAAGGAGCGCTGCTTGTAGCCTCACAAAGCTATTTGATGCACGAACAGCACACAGATGTTCCAAAAACCTCGTT